ACACACACACACACACACACACACACTCACATACACACACAACACACAAACACACACAACACACAAACACACACACACACACACACACACACACACACAACACACAAACATACTCACACACATACACACACCTGTTCCTCAATCTAAAAACAAAGCATTTAATTCTTTTTAAATGGCAGACACCATTGTTGTTGTTGTTTCAGTTTTCAGTTAAATACTTAAGACTAAAATCCATCCACGTCGTCACTTGTTACAACAATTGAGGCTGCTATGACAGCGTAAGTTACACCTAAGACCTGCTTTACGGCATTTACATCGCCTTGAACTACACTTTTTGGCACCAGTACAATTGCATCTTTTGAAGCCTTGTCCACCTGGGGAGGATTGAAAAATCACCGCCGAACGCAGCGAAACTATTTTTTCGGTGTTTATGTCGTCAGTGTTCAGAAGACGCTCAGGGCACAGATCGAAATGATTTCTGGAATACAAACCAGTATTTACAGCTATCTTCTTGTCTGTCAATTATGACACCAAGGATATTTCTAGGATCGTCTCTCCCTCGATCAACAAGTGGAACTGTCACACAAACGTTGTCTCCTTGTTTGCCAGCTGGCATATCTATGTTACAGTAAGAACGCGTAGATCAATCTAGTTAATACGCATAATCACTGAATATTTCAGTGAAAACGCGTAATCCCTGTACAGTGGCGGGGCTATTACGTGAATTCACTGAATGCTCAGTAGTAAAAACACGTAAAATGATAGGTCTAATTTTAGGGATTTCGCGTAATCACTAGAAATTTCAGTGATTACGTGAACCCCTGAGTGAAACGGGGATTACGTGTATTCACTAAAATATTCAGTGATTACGCGTAATCACTAGGTACGCATTCTTACTGTAACATATATATATATATTTATATATATATAGTTTTGATAAGTGTTTTACGGCGCTCGCAACGGCAAAAGGCTATATGAACGCGCGAGACACATTAAACATTTTCACTATTTTCAGTTGGAATGAAATTTTGAATTTTGCCCGGGGGGCGGCCGAAGCCTGCTCTTATAGATTTTGGACCAGCAAAGTATGATCGAAGGATCTTTAACGTGCGCTGCTAGCACACGGGACCTCCGATTTTTTTTGCCCATAACCGAGAAGGCTAGGTTCTAGATCTTACGTACCATACGGTCAGGGGTGTGACTGAAAGACAACAGTAAGAAGGAGCAAAGGAGAAGCAGTAGAAATGCCGTATTAAGAGGCTGGAGCCCAGAGGAGGGGCAAAGGAGGGGAGGGGGGGGGGGGGGGGCAGAAAGTGGAGACGAAAGCAGACGACGGAACATTTTGTTAGAGAGCAGGAAAGGATGGGAAGGGAAAACCTTTTTAGAGAAAGAAAAATTTCCGCCCGTATCCGGATTCCAACCCCCGAACCTTTTGGAATGAAAGGGAAAAACCTTTTACCCTCGAAAACACCGACAGCCCCCCCGGTTATAATATATAAAATATATACATATATACATGATATCTATATGTATATTTACATATATAATATATAATATATATATAA